ATATATATATATATATATATATATATATATATATATATATATATATACTTTCTCACCTATTTGGATTTGTTCACATTATACTAAAAAATTTAAAAGTAAATTAGCCATTTTTATAAGACCTAGACTTTCCATGCATTAAAAAAAATATTTTTAGGTCAGCCTTGTCTACAGAACTAGTTCCAGGATAGCCAAGGCTACACACACACAAAAACCACCACCAACAACAATAAAACCCTGTCTTGAAAAACAACAAAAATTATTTTTAAAGAAAGCAAAATTTAGTGTTCTGCAAAGGGAGAAGGGCATGGTAGGAACAGAAGTGAGCAAAACATCCAATTTTTGTTTTCTAAATAAATTCTCATATACACTCCTGTTACAACAAACTTGTCTCTAATTATAAACGTACATATATATATATATATATATATATATATATATATATATATATACTCAAACAATTAATATAGCTTTGGTTTACTAGATATGATTCCTAAATAGCAGCAAGATAAAGTCAAAGCATCAAGCAATTCCTTCTTCATCTCCAATAATCCACAAAGGGACACCTACATAACTTGTGGTGACTGATAACTGAAAATCACAACACAAGTTCCACAGTCAAAGTTGTGGTTTAAAACTGCCTGGCTAGGATGACAAGAGACACCAGCAAAAGAATAGTTTTGGGTAAGAAATAACCATGTATGAATTTTTTAAATTCCAAGTTCCAAATCTTCCTTCACCAAAATTCAAACTGAATTAAAAATATATAAATATAATAACATGAAAATTTCTACAATTTGTTTTGAAAGTAAAATCAAAGATTTAAGTTTTCTTTTAATAATTAAACTTAAAAGCTGAGCAACACAAAACAATCTGTGTTTTTTTATATGAAAGAAAAATTACAACAAAGTTTAGGAAACCTATACCTAGAAAAATGCTTTCTTTCTTGGTGCTCGTAGTTCCATTACCTTTCTTTCTAAAGTGTGGTGAGTTTCCAGTCAGTAGGAAGAAGTCTTCTTTCGCTGCAGTAACTACTTCTACTCCCCTCAAAGCTTAGTCTGCATTTCTAAATCTCACCACAAATTCAAAACATACATACACACACACAAATCCCCTGGAAATAAAGCAACCAGATGGCTATAGAATATGAAAAGTGTTTTACAACTAGTTCAGTAAATGAAAAATTTAAAAAGTTTCCTTTTGAACAAGGACTTAAGCATATCTCTATGACTGATTTCCAGTGAGGGAAATGTACTTACACTGAATTCTCTCAGCCTTTATGATTTAATAATGGCAGCTCAATGAACCTGTTTACATACGTGAGTATGTCAAAGCTTTTACCACACTGTTCCAGGTCCAGCATGTTTTTGTTTCCTCAGCAAACAAAGTGATGTGTCCATATATAGCAGACATGCATTATTAGTTTTTGCATACAGAGCTAACAGGGATATATAAGTTTCTCAGCAGTGTATGGGAAATGTTCTTAATCATGTATCTCCTTCTCAATCCTTCTTTTGTTACATGAAAAGGCTATTAGGCTAAGGTTATCAATGTGGTCTGTGGCTATGGCACAGGAAGCCACATAGTGGCTGTTTCTTTGGAACTTGTTCTAATCTAATTACGGAGCTAACCTGTAATCGTAGGAGTTATGTGCTCAACTCTCCAGATGTAATAAATTATCATCTAAAAACCTACCCCTACTGTGATACATATTTCTGATTCTATTGTGCTTTAGTATACTTTAGTATGTGTGCTTTAGTGCCTAGGTGGAAAGTTTACTAAGAAGAATCCTATCTTTAACACAATTTATTAAATGTAAACTGTGAGCTCAGGGTAGGTGTGGACAGATCATGGACTATAGGTGAAACCTAGGCCACAAGTGTTTTTTCTTTTTTCTTTTCTTTTTGAGATACTTGTTGTTTTGGAAAAAAAGGTATCACTTATATATAGCCCAGATTGGCCCAACTTGCTTTGCAGCTCTTGTTGGCTTTAAATTAATGGCAATCCTCCTGACTCAGCCTTCTGAGTGCTGGGATTATAGACATGTATTTCCATGGCCAGGATTCCACTGGTGTAAAGAAATTTTTATCAGACTGGAGATATTGCTCAGGTTTATGTTACTTGCGTAGTATGTGCAAGATTCTGTGTTCAATCTCTTTCACCATCAAAAGAGAGAGAGCGAGAAAGAGAGAAAGCGCAGGTATAATAACACTTGCCTATATATAATTTGAACACTTGCGAGGCAGAGCCAAGAGGAGCAAGTTCAAGTCATCCGTGACTACATAGAGAAAGTCTGAGAACAGCCCAGACTATATGACACTTGATCTCAAAAAACAAAACCAATCAAGTTAGTGCTAGTACACAGAACACAGCCATGCCTATAGTCTATACAGCTTTTATATTACAGTGACAAAACTGAGCTCTCAGGACATAAGATATATGGTCTTTAAAATCTACAATTTCTGGCCCTTTTCAGGCAAAGTTAGCTTACGTCTGCCTTAAAACATTAGTGTTTCTGCATGGGGATGTGTGCAGTTCAATAGTAAAGTACGAGCTTCGCATGCACAAGGCTTCCAGTTTCACATTAAAAAACAGAGTTCAATGAAATGGCTCGGTTGATAAAGGTGCTTGCTACTATGCCCAACAACCTGACCTTCACCCCTAGGACAAAGAACTGGGTCCCACAGGTTGTTCTCTGACTTCCACATGCCTCCCCCCAACATAAAATAAATGGGAATTTAAATAAAAAAAAAGAGGGGTGGTAATTTTTATCACTCAAAATATCCAGCTATTATAGATAACTTCTGGGGGGAAAAACCCATTAAGAAATGTACTTACGATTTTGACTGGTGTCCATTTGATGTTTTAGCGGAAGCATTGTATCTTTCTAAAACAAAAAATGTAGAAGTGAGCAACTGAAATTGGTTGTTTAGATTATAAAATATCTACATAAAATGTCTATTTAACAATATAAAATAAATGCACTGCACACGGTGGACAAAGACACAGGCATTCTCATAAGCAATGATCGTCCATAGCCATTTCAGAAGGAAAATTAGTTCATATTACCTTATCGATATTGTAACTATCCTGCTACTAATCTAGTTCAATGAAAGCAACCTATCCAGTATCTGGAGGAATACTTATACATACAGACAGACATGATGTTCATAATAATAAGGCTTTATTTGTATTTTTTGGAGACAGAGTCTCACTACACAGCTCAGGCTTGCCCAAATTCACAATGCAGAGCCTGGACTGGCCTTAAACCTACAATCTGTCTTCCCCAGAGTCAGGGTAATAAGTGTGTGTCACCACATCCAGATTTTAATAGCACAGCTTTAATAACAAAAGCTAGGAAATAAAATACATGTCCATTAGTAGAAGGCTAATTAAATGACTATAATTATTTCCTGAAATATGGTTTAAATATTACAAAGAGTGAATTAAAATTTCATACTGATAAACATTTAAAGTAACCCAGTGAAAAATACAATGTAATAACAAACCAGATGAAGTTTATGGTCCCATTTGCCATAATTAAACACTAAGGAAGTAAATGAGGGTGAGGAAAAAGTAAGGAGACATTCTTAAGAGAAAATTAAAAGGTTTTGGTTTATAGCTAGCTATTTTGGGCATATCAACATGTCAAAGCTGGGTGTGGTGGCTCAGGCCTTTAATCCTAACAACCCAGAGACAGAGGCAGGGGAATCTCTGAGTAATATGCCAGCCTGGGCTAAATAATGAGACCCTGCTTTAAAAAAATCATGGTTACAGCCAGGCAATGGTGATGCATGCCTTTAATCCCAGCACATAGGAAGCAAGAGCAGGCAGATCTGAGTTCAAGAATAGTCTGGTCTACAGAGTGAGTTCCAAGACAGCTAAGGCTGGGTAGGGAAACCCTGTCTCAAAAAACAAACAAAACCAAGAAACTCACTGTCACTTCCCTTTTCCCTCTTTATCTCTAACTACAGCTGTTCGATAGAAATAAACAGACATACAGATTTAAAGTTTGACTACTCCAAGTTGTCTTGTGACCTCCATATGTGTACTATGGCATTCCCATGCCTCCTACACATGTGATAAATAAGTAAACATAAAGAGATACATTCTTGCATTAAGATCACACACACACACCAACTAGCAAAAGGTCAAATCTTATTTCCATCTTTCAGAATACTCTTAAGACAGCATAAATCTATCTCATAACCTGTTGTTCCTAGAATATCTTTTTTTGTGTTCCAGAGCTACACAGTAACACTCCAACATCTGCAATGGCCCTAACCTCACCAATATCAATCTGCCCATTTCTTGGTTCCACGTATCTCCATAGCCATTATCTACAAGAATTCTGAAAAGTGCAAAGTGGAGGTGAAAGTGAGGCTGCAGAGGACAGCAGGCTTTTTATCCAGACTAGAAGCCTCAGGAAGAATAAATACAGGATGCCTAAAGAGCCCGTAGTAGTGCTAACATGACCATTCCTGCCTCTCGTTTTATCACCACAAAACTAATACCATGAAAAAAGTGGAAAGACAGAAAATGGCTCTTGATTTCATGAGGTGCCCACTAAACTGATTTTATGAAATGTCAACTATTAGTTCAAATAAATAAGCTTATTTTGATTTTTGTTTGTTTGTTTTTTGCGACAGGGTCTCTTTACATATACTTAGCTGGCTTGAAGCTCCCTAAGTAGACCAGGCTGGCCTTAAACTTACCGAGATCTGTTTGCCTCTGCTCCTAAATACAGGGAGGGTTTAAACGCATGCACTACCATGCCCAGCTTATTTTGATTTTTAATGACCTACAGTTACTGAGTTTTCTTAAGAATGAGCTCAGCTTGTTATTTACCAGATCATAAATTCAGGGTAAGATGGGGCTGGAGAGATGGCTCAGAAGTTAAGAGCATTGGCTGCTCTTCCAAAGTTCCTGAGTTCAATTCCCAGCACCCACATCGTGGCTCATAACCATATATAGTGAGATCTGGTGCCCTCTTCTGGCATGCAGGCAGAACACTGTAGACATAATAAATAAATAAATCTTTAAAAAAAATCAGGGCAAGACATGTAAAAAAATTACTAGAAAGTACTAAAAGGAGTGACTACATGAATAAAATGTCCAATAAAATAGGTTATTTTGAAAGCCAGGAAGGAAAGAAATACTTACTTTGTTCTCCAGGGCCAAAGTTAGACTGCTGAGACTCCTGAAAGTAAGGAACACGGAGTTACCCAAAGTGATGGTATGTGAGAAAAATCCATAGTGGGAAAAGCTCCGAGCGATAGAAATGCTCCAACATGCATGGAAGAAAAACACTGGAAGAATGTTATCGCCCTCTAAACAACAGACTCCAGGAGAGCTCACAGAGGTAGCACGGAGCCACCAAGAGTCTCCATTTCTTTTCAACAGAACTTATGATCTAATTCAGCGATCTGGAGAGTTCAAATAATTTCAAAATTTTTGGTCTTGGGGCTAGAACGATATCTAGGATTTAGAGCAGGCTCTTGCTAAGGATCTGAGTTCAGGTCTTGGCACCCATGTTGTGCAGATCACATCTCCGAGGATGAAGACCCCTTCTCACAGCTTCTTGAGCCCCTGAGCCCACCTGCATATACTGCACACACACACACTTATAACTAAAGATAAACCTGATTCTTGGTCTTAAGGAAATGCCTGGACTACAGGTGTGAATAAGCAGTAGACGGCATTTCCTTTTTCCTAAGATTTATTTTTTTATTTAAACTGTGTAGCCCAGGCTGGCCTCAAACTCGTGATCCTCCTGCCTCTGCCTCCTTCAGCAAATCCTACCGGTGTGTGCCACCACCACTGGCCAGCATTTCCTTACTATCCCCAAGGTCCTGGGTTCAATCCCCAGTACCCAAAAGGGGAGGGGCTTAATTTGAAAAAGAAAGAAAGGAGCTAGGGATTTGGCTCAGTTGATAGATACTTGTCCAGCATGGTGCTGTGGCTCATAACTACAATGTCAGTACTTCAGAGGAAAAGGCTGAAAACTGGACAATGAAGGACACTCTAAGCCCCTAAGCTACATTGTGAGTTCAAGGATAGTCTGTGCTACCTAAGAGCCTGTCTCATAGAATAGTATACTAGATAGAAACAGCTGTGCAATCGAGAATACATTCAAAATATACTATTCTCTATATATAAAAAAAAAAAGCTTCCACATGGGTATTCCATGCCACTTTACTCCCTTCCTACCTCCCGTCCCTAGTTTCTTACAAACTAATAGCACTGTGAAAACAAACGGTCACATATGTCTTTATTATTTATTTGTTTGCTTGTTGTTCTTTTCAGATAGATAGCTCTGGCTGGTCTAAAACTCTATGTAGATCAGGCTGTGCTCAAATTCAGAGATTCTTTTGCCTCTGCCTCCCCCACAATGAGCACATGCTCTTTTTAAAGCTCTATGATAGTACAGAGCCTGGCACTAGAGAAGCTTCAAAAACATCACAGAAACATCACTTTCCAAATAACTTCATATGCAAGTGTGTTTGTCCAGGTTAAGTCTGTGCTATAAGATACAATGCCAAAATTATACAGAGCCATAAAAAACCTACTTAAAAAATTTTCCTTTAATGACAGAATTTCCCGAAAAAGAGCAACCCAAATAAGCAAACTAAAACATACTCACTGTTAGAAATAAAGTCAACTAAGTTGCGGCAGCGAATAACTGATCCCAGCACAGAAGCAGGCGGATCTCTGTGAGTTTGAAGCCAGCCTGATCTACAAAGCAAGTCCAGAATATCCAAGGCTACACAGAGAAAATTTGTCTCAAAAAACCAAACCAAACCAAAAATAAATAAATACATAAAAATAAAATAAAATAAAATAAAATAAAATAAAATAAAATAAAATAAAATAAAAAGAAGTCAATTAAGCCGAGCACCGTGGCACACACCTGTAACCCCAGTGCTTGGAAAGGTAGAGGCAGGTAGGCAGTTTGAGGCCAGCCTGGTCTACAAACTGGGTCCAGGACAGCCAAGGCTACATAGAGAAACCCGTCTCAAAAACAACAACTACAACAACAAAAAACAAGTCAACTAGTTTTTCAAGATCACTCAATGAAGAAATAACTTTTTCAACAAACTGTGTCAGGTCAAGAGCCACAACCAAAAGAATGAAGTTAATGTAACAGCTAAAGCTAAAGAAAATAGTGCCAAATCTTAATGACTTTGCATTTAGCAGAGATTTCTTATCATAATAAATCAGATACACACAAAACCACATAAATTGGATTTCATTAAAATCAAGAACTTTTATAACTCCAAGGACACCATCAAGAAAGTGAAATGAGCCAGGGCTGGTGACTCATACTTGTCATCCTAACACTTAGAAGGCTGAGACAAGAGGGTCTCAAGCTTCAGGCTAGCATGGGCTACACAGTGAGTTCCAGGCCAACATAAGTTACAAAGTAAAAATGTGTCAAAAAGAAAACAAAATGAAAGGAAAGCTAAGGGTGTGGCTCAATGGTATTAAAAGGGATCTAGTCACGCCCACATAACATACACAAGCACACGCGCGCGCACACACAAACCAAGAAAGTGAAAAAAGAATGACATATACTTGTAGCGCCAAGAGGCTGAGACAGGAGGGCTGAATTCAAGGCCAGGCGGGCTTTACAGCAGGCCTGTAGGTGAATAATGAAGGAGAAGTGGGGGAGGAAGCCAGATTGCAGAATGGAGAATGTATAGGTAAACCCTGTTTTTATAGTGGATTGGTATCCGTGCTATACAGAGTTGTAAGCACTCCTTACAACGCAGAAGTCTCCATTTACTAGATATGTCTATAGCCATGAAAGATCACATAATCTTAGATTCCACTATTTGGAGCAGAGAAGTAAGGGAAAACCAGCTACAGGGCATGAGATTCCCTTATGAAAAAGATACAAGGATGGTCTATAACTGTTAATGGATGCACATATCTATAAATGTGCTCAAATCACTGAACTGATGAATTACATTGTCAGTAAATTATTACTTTTGGATATAACAAAATCTTACTACATAAGAACTACCTTATTTCTAAAATGTAAATGGAAAGCAACTAAGAAGTCATTTTTGTGAATTATGTTAAAAATGGAGACTCCTGCCAGGCTCTGGTGGAGCAAGCCTTCGATCCCAGCACTCAAAAGACAGAGGGAAGCAGATCTCTGTTAGTTCGAGGCCAGCCAAGTTCCTGGACAGCCAAGAATACACAGGAAAAAAATTAAAAAAAAAAAAAAGATTTCTAATTGTCTCAGATTAGTTTAGTTGGCAAGTAGTCCAAGAGTTAAAAGCCCAGTAAGGGGTGGTGGTATACACTTTTAGTCCCAGCACTAGGGAGACAGAGGCAGGAAATTCTCTGTGAATTCACACCAGCCAGGGCTGCATAATAAGAATCAATGTCCTTCCCCCACCCCCAAAAATAATATATTCTGTCTCCGTCAAAATGCCTCATCTCCTTTGAGCTGTCTTTTTTGTTGTTGTTTTTTGTTTCGAGACAGGGTTTCTCTGTGTAACCTTGGCTGGCCTGGACTCATTTTGGAGACTAGGCTGGCCTCAAACTCACAAAGATCTGTCTGCCTCTGCCTCTCTGAGTGCTGGGATTAAAGGCATGTGACACAACACCCTGTTATGAGCTGTCTTTGTTTTTCATCTAGGATGACTATGTAATGGATCTTTTTTATTGAAGTGTTCCCCTTTCACTCAACGCTGGCTTCTATTTTTTTTTTTTTCTTCAAACCCAACTCTTTTTTTTTTTTCTTCCACAAATCCACTTTTATTTATTTACTTTTCATTAGTTTAAATCCGGAAAGGATACAGCATCACACGGATTCTGTGTCCAATGGCCTTTGCAGGAAGGTTGCTTTGGGATTTGGCAGGAACCAGGCCACCGTTTCCATGGGCCCCAGTCACTTTTCCCCAGATCACTCTGGTTTGGTTTGGTTTGGCTCCAGGAGTCACTGTATTGTTTTTTGCTTTATATACAAAAGCACATCTCTTGCCTAAGTAGAATTCAGTTTCATCTTGGGCATAAACACCTTCAATTTTCAAAAGAGCTGTGTGCTCTCTTTGGTTCTGGAGACGTTGTTTGTGGCCAGCAAAAATGACCTTGCACCACAGCCTTCCAGACATGTTTGCTTAGAAGTCCTGTTCCCAGCAGGCCTCCACAGGCGCCAAGATGACAAAAAGAGTGCAAACCCAATTCTTAATGTATCATCATAGCTTTTCTATTTTTTTAGGCAATGTACCATCATTTTTTGTTTTTCCTCAACCTTCTTTTGGAGACCAGGTCTCACTATGTACACTACGTAGCTAGGGATGACCTTGAACTCCTTGATTGTCTCAACCTTGAATGAAGGCTGGGGTTTCAGGCCACCTTTGCCTCACATTTACTCATGTATCTAGGTACCAGTGAAACAGAATAACAAACAAAAAGAGCATTAGCTCTATGAAGACAGTATCCTTAATGATTCAACTACTAATAAAAATTCAACTACTAATGAAAATAAATGCAGGACAGAAACATGCTAAGCATCAAGCACAGTATTTAATATAAGCTCACTACTGTTGTATATGAGAGACAGCTCACTAGTTTCATCCCCAACACTGACACAGCAGCTCAAACTGTCTGTAACTTCAATTCCAGTGGATCTATATGGTGGTCTGAATAGGTATGGTCCCATAGACTCAGGTGTGTGAATTCTTGGCCCATGCAGACTGGCACTACTAGGATGTGTGGCTTTGTTGGAATAGGTGTGGCCTTGTTGGAGGAAGTGTGTCACTATGGGGGTGGGCTTTGAGGTCTCCTAGGCTCAATAAGAGTCCAGTCTTATTCTGCTGCTTGTGGATCAAGATGTAGAACTCTCAGCTCCTTCTCCAGCACCATGTCTGCCTGACACTTCTACGCTTCCCACCATGGTGTTAATGGACTTAACCTTTCAAACTGTAAGCCAGCCCCAATTAAATGTTTTCCCTTACAAGAGTTGCCTTGGTCATGGTGTCTCTCCACAGCAATGGAAACCCTAACTCAGACAATCTGACACCCTCTTCCAGCATCTGAGGGCATTGCAGACATGTGGTACACATGCACAAGCACACATGCAAGCAAAACACCCACACAGAGTTAAAAAGCAGCAGGCCTGCAGGGTCAGCAAGATAGCTCTGTGGGTAAAAACACTTGCTGCCAAGCCTGAAACCCAGAGTTCCATCCCTGGCACTCAGATGGTAGAAGTAGAGAATCAACTGTCAGTGGTTGTTCTCTGATAACAAACGTAAATTTTAAAAAGTAAAGCTCTGGCATGGCAATGCACACCTTTAATTCCAGCACAGGGAGAATCTGTCAGTTTCAGGGCAGCCTAGTCTATGTAGAGTATTAGATTAGCCAGGACTATACAGTGAAAGACCCCATCTCAATAAAAGAAACTAAAAAAATCCACAACAATGCCAATGTATTTCAAAGTCAGGAGAAAAGAAGTAGGAGGGTCAATCTCATACCCTTCCAGCATCCGGGAGCTCTGGTGCACAGAGCTATGCCTGCTTGTAGTGTTGCTTCTGTTTTGATTGTAGTGTATTTGCTACTTTTTTTTGTTGGTTTGTTTTAAGGTAGGTCTCATATAGTTTAGGCTGACAAACTTGCTATTCAGCCAAGGATGACCAGGCTTGCTTTTTAATTTACAGAGATCCACCTGTCTCTGCCACCTGAACGCTAGGATTAAAGGCATACACCTGGCCTCTTCCTTTTTGTTGCTGTTTTTTAAAAATATTATTATGAGTGTTTTGCTTGTATGTATGTTATATACTATTTCATGCTTGGGGCCACGAAGGCCGGAAAAGGGTGCTGGATCCCCTGGATCTGGAGTTATAGGTGCTTGTTACCTGTTCCTCTGGGATAGCAAGCCAATGCTCTTAATCAGAGCCATCTCTCCAACCCTTCATTTTTATGTAAATATCCCTTTTTGTTAGAGAGGAATACTATCTAAACCTGTAGTGTTTTGCCTACAGCATCCAGAAAACAGCCCAGAGGCTACTACCAAAAAGCAAGTTTCAACAGCTTCCAGACTAAAACTGGAAAATCTAACATGCTATCCCAACTGTACTCAAGTACTCTGCCTCTTTCCTGTGAAAAAGAATGACCTAGTTGTTTTCAGACTGAAAGGCTACTGTCTACTAATTCTGCACCAAATCTCAATGCCTTTTAAATTTCAGGGTTACCACTCTTCCATGTATGATTTCTATCTTTTATCACATCATTATGCTCATCTTATAAACATGACTAAATATTCTATCTTGCAAAAACATTCTCAACATAACATGCTGCTTCTAGCATATTTGTCTGGTACCATTTATAGGAACGTGCTTAAAAAGGCAATCTTCTTTTATATATTCACCATCTGCCAGCATCTCTGTAGCTGGCTGCAATCACTGTACTATCTAGCTTTCTATTTAAAAGGTTTGTGGATGGGTGTGATTTTACATATCTTTAATATTAGCACTTGGGAAGAAGAGGCATGTGGATTTCTCCTAAGAAGATCATGTCTAAAAAAACAAACAAACAAGAAACTTTTTTTAAAAGGTTGTCGTCATCAAGAATGACTGTCAAATCTAATGCTTGGACATCTTTTAAAAATAAATAAAAAGCAGAAATTTAGAAGTACAAACCTCATCTGAAATCACAATACATTGAGACCAACAGCGTATCAGATACTGCAAAACCTAAGAGTACAGCAGCAGAAGCAACATAAAACTGAACAAAACAGAAGAATGCATTATGTAACCAGAGTCCCTGAAGCAAGGAGAAGGAAACAGAAAAGAATCTGAGTACTATAAATAACTGCAAAGGTTTTTCTAACTTGATAGAAACTACAAATCACAAATTCCAAGCACAACACAAGAAAAGAATAACATATATAGACCAGTAAAGCTAAAATATCGACAAATTAGAATTCTATAACCGGGGGTGGGTGCAAGCATGGTGATACCTGTATCTCAGAGGTGGAAGAAGCAGGATGACATTGAGGTCCAAGGGAGCCTGGGCTGTGTAGTAAGGCCCTATCTAAACAAACAGAACAGCCAAGCACTGTTGCTGCTTGCCAGTAGTCCCAGATACCTTGAGAGACTGAAGTAGGGGACAACTTGAGCCTGGGTTCTGGGACAGGCTGGGCAACAAAGCAAGATATTATCTCTCCCTACACACACACACACACACACACACACACGAACCCCCTTCTTAGTACACTCCAACTCTGCTCCATTCTTAATTGTATTGAAATTCTTTTTCTAAGACAAAAATAAAAAAATTAAAAAAAATCTCAGCTTCATAGATCACCTAAAAGAACTCAGGTTGCTGCCGGCAGAAGCATGGAGCTATTTTCTAGCTCCTACCCCACTGCTGCTGACAAAACAATTAATAATTAGTTAAAAAATTTTTAGATGCATAGCAAAAAAAGTACTGAAGGAAACAGCTAGGACAAAAAAGAACCGGCACCAGATAGAGAGCTCAATGAACTAAATGACAAGCAAAAGAAATGCTGCACAGGAAGTATTTTTTTTAATCTTCTTTACTTTAATACTGATTAAATATAATAAGCTAGGCACAGTGGGGCATGCAACCCCAACGCTTGGAAGACAGTGGCAAGATTATCAGACCTTCACGGTCATTCTTAGCTACCTAGATTGTCTGAGGCAGCCCAGGACAAAGAATGAAAGGTACGGTAGGTTTGAGGGGAAAGGGGGACTGGGAAAATTAAGGGGACATGGGGAAAAGAGACCCCAGTCCAGAGTCTGATTCAAGTTTCTCACCAGAACCAATAAATTTCAGCACCATTAATGACCTGTGAGGCTGTTTGCATAGAAATAATATTCCTTTATATAGAGCTATTTTCAAATATAAACACTAAAATAGCAATGAACCTTCCCCACCCCACCCTCTGTGTAGCCCTGGCTGTCCTGGAACTCACTCTGTAGACCAGACTGGCCTTAACCTCAGACATCTGCCTGCCTCTGCCTCCTGAGTGCTGGGATTAAAGGTGTGCCAATTCAATGCACACTCAATGCAATGAGCTATTTTTAAAAGCTGAGCATCCGTGACTGCTGAGTATGGCCCAACTCTTTTCACAGATGTAAACTTGAAATTGTCTAGAAATCTCACAAACAAGTCTGTAAACTTTAGTTTATAATAGAAACACCTTCATTTCCTATATGATCTTTGTGACCTAGGATTTCACCTTATTAACTGGAATCTTATTCATCACCGGAGCTCTTCTATGATCTCACTCAGGTTCCTTAGCAACCCCTGGGACAACTTTAGAAGCCACCAGAGTGCAAAATACAGCTAATGTAAGCTTACAGGAGACTCTTTAGAAGCTCTTGAATATGTTCCCTACTTTTCCTGAGTGTATCTCCCTCTCCCTAATGTGTATGCTTGAATCTAATTAAAAAACATCTTCCTAACAGGGGTGTGGTGGTGCTCACCTAAAATCCCAGCACTCAGGGAGGCAAAGGCAAGAGGGTATCTGTGAGTTCAAGGCCAGCCTGGTCTACAAAAGAATTCAGGACAGCCAAGGCTACACAGAGAAACCCTGGTTCAAAAAAATTAAAACAAAAATAGAAGAAAACCCCCTTCTTAATACACTGGAATATACTCTGTGCCATTCTGAATTATACTGAATTTCTTTTTCTAAGACAAAAAAATAAATAATAAATTAAAAAAAATAAATAAATAAACAGATATTCTCCACTTCACCTGAATATAGGTCACTGAAAAGAACTCAGGCAGAAGCATGGAACTGTTTTTTAGCCCCTGCCCCCCTGCAGCTGACAAAACAACACAGAACATGTGCCTTATACTCTAAATCAACTTGGTTTGACACACACAGAACACTCTATACTCAGCAAGACCAAAATATATTCTTTTCAAGTCTACAGAAAATACTGACAAAAAGAAATACTCTGGGCCATGAAATGAGTCTTAATAAAAATAAAATGATTTGGGGCTAGAGAGATGGCTCAGTAGTTCAGAGCACTGGCTGCTCTTCCAAAGGTCCTGAATTCAATTCTCAGCACCCACCTGGTGGCTTCATGACCATCTACAATGGGATCTGATGTCCTCTTCTGTCATACATGCAGATAGAACACCCATATGTATAAATAAATAATCTTTTTAAAAAATGATTCAAGTCATATGAAATATGCTTTCTGATACAAATGAAACTAATCAGTAACGTGAAAAATCTCCTGAATCCTTGAAAACTATAAAATATTAAAAAACACTTGAAAATAAACCATAAAAATAATTAAAACACAAAATATTAAAATTTGTAATGCTTTATTTAAAGCATATTTGCATAAATAAGGAAAACCAGTTTAATGATACTACTTTCCACTTCAAGAAACACTTTTTAAAAACAATAGTAAATGAAAAGAGAAGAAAAAGCATAAAAATTATGGAAAAATTCAAAACTAGGAAAAATTGATGAAATTTTAAAAATAATCACATGCCCTCTAGAAAGCTTTTAAAAAGAACAAGTAGCCTCCACTTCTCTGAAGAAACAAGGAGGAAGGAATAGGGGTGCTGTGAGGGTAGGACTGGAAGGAGAGGAGGAAGGAGGCTTCAAATAGGCTGCAAAGTGACAGGGTTTCTCTGTGTAGCCTTGGCTGTCCTGGACTCACTTTATAGATGAGGATAGCCTCGAACACACAGAGATCTACCTGCCTCTGCCTCCCTGAGTGCTGGGATTATAGGTGTGCATCACCGTGTCCAGTTTAAATAAAAATTTAAAAGATGCAGAAATGTGGAACCTGTCATCTCAAAAAAATACAGAAATTTGATGCTAAAGAAATGAGGATATTATGAAAAACTTACTTCAATTCACTGACATCACTTGCAATTAATACACAAAATGGAAGGCCATGGACACAGCTCAGTTAGTAGAGCTTGTCTAACATGCAGGAAGTCCTGGGTTCCACACTAGTCTCACACAAACCAGGCATGGTGGCACATGATTCTAATCCCAGCTCTCAAAGGCGGAGGCCCAAGGATCAGGAGTTCTATGTTATTCTCAGCTCTAAGTTGAAGCCAGCTCTGGGTTTTAAGAAACCCTATCTCAATAAAGGAGAGAGAGCAGAGAGGGGAGGGATGAAGGGGAGAGAAGAGAAAAAAATATAAAAATTCTTTGAAAGATACAAACTACCAAAATTCATTCAAGAAGAAATGGCATGGTAGCAAACACCTTTAATCTCAGTGCTCTAGAAGCAAAGGCAAGCAGATCTGGAGTGCCAAGCAAGTCTACTGTACATAAAAAGCTCCAGACCAGCTACAGTTGCATTGAGAGCCTGTCTCAGTAAATACATATTAGATAGACAGACAGACAGATAATCTCTGACCCTCACACACAGATTCTGAGCACAGCGAAATAAATATAAAGCTACTGTGTAACTGCTCTTGCAACACTGAACTTAGAACACCTAGACACAGATAAGTTAATTCAAAAAATGAGCAAGAGTAAACAGGGGCCTCTAGACAGAGGCTTGAGATAAAGAAAACCTGGTGCTTGCAGTGCAGAGTTGGTTGTGACTGGCATGGGAAAGAAGAGAATGAGTGGTGGGAAGACAAGGGGATTCACAGAGAATGTTGAAGAAGCCAATAGGAAATCCAGGTAATTTGAGACCTTGTTACTCAACAAAGGGGGTTGGATATGTGTGTCAAAGTCAATAAAACACACTAACTGTTTAATCAGGAGCCAGAGTTCTTTATATCATCCGATTGGTTCTAAGCATTAGTACTGGAAGGGCTCTGAAGCAGACCTTTTAGAATGTTATAGCCATGGTCTAAAGGAGGGGTCAGCTTAGCTTAGTTAGTTAGCTTAGACTACAGCAGGAGAGATGAGAATGCAGAGAAATGAAAAACTGAAGGGTGGGCAACTTCTAACAAGGGAAGAAATTGAAGCTCATTAGTAAACAAAGTCCTTTTTAAATCCTCACAGTCCTTTTTAAAAATTATCATTACATTTTTATTTCTTTTGTGATTGTATGTATACTTAAACCATATTGCACATACGGAGATATTAGGACAATCTGTGAGCCAGGTGGTGGTGCACACCTTTCAACCCAGCACTTGGGAGGCAGAAGCAGGCAGATTTCTGTGAGTTTGAGGCGAAGGAAGGGAGGGAGGGAGGGAGGGAGGGAAAAGACAACTTGTGGAAGTCAGATCTCTTTTTCCACCATGTAGGCCCCCAGGTATTAAACTCAAGTTATCAGGCTTGGTGGCAAACATCTTCACCTACTGAGCCATCTCGCTGGCCTCAGTCCTTGGTTTCATATTCTTATCTTGGTTAAACAGACTGGTGACTTTTCTTGTTACGGGGACAGAATACCAAAGCAACTTAAGAAAAATCAGATACCTAATTTTTCATGATGAATACAGTCAGGATGCCAGGGAAACAAAGATGTATAAAATTACCTTTAGGCCATATGTGTACAGTATATATAAAACATAAATCAAATTTGTGTTCATACTTCACTTCAGAGTGCTCATTTCCTATATGGAAGAATTTCAAAAAGCTTAAAGCACTAAAATCTGAAACACTTCTGACTCCAAATATATGGAATTATTTAACCCACACAGAATGGCCAATAAACACAAGAAGAGAGAGGGTTCATTATCATCACTCTTTAAGGGACATAAATTAAAATAAAAATGACGTACCTCTAATATACCTCCTAAAATGACTAAAGGCAAATAGACCAACAAGCTGAAGGCACAGACAGAACAGGTGGCCTACACATAGTTAAGTAGTAGGGAGGGATAAGGCAGGAGCATTCTAGCTACTCTAGAGAACAATGTTCAGCATCTTACAAGTGCAACACATATACTACATGATTCAGCAATTCTTTTCATCATATCACTAGTATTGGCCCATAAGAAAAGAAAACCTAAGTCTACAATACATACAACAATGTTTATAGATATTTTAACAGCCGAAAGGTAGAAATAACTTATATGTTCATCAACAACTGAATGGATAAGAAGTTTTGGTATTCACTGAAAGCTTTCTAAAAATAAAAATAAAAAATAAATTACTGATACACTCAAGAACAGGGAAGATGGCTTGTTTCCACAGGCCTGGGTTCTGTCTCCAGCACGCGCGCACACATGCTCATACAGACCCTCACAAACGAGGATGGCTGAGATGACAACAGTAAGATCACAGAGACTTGCTGCTCACTAGCTTAGAGAGAAACAGTGCTCTACATCCAGAGAGCTTGTGCTCAGGGAGGAAGGCAGAGAGCTAGCTAGGAGGAAGTTTCCTTTCAGCCTCTACACACATGAATGGGTATGCATAGCTGCATTTACATGTGTACACAAACGTATATACAAAAAGCTCAAGATCATTATAGGCTCTACAGAATTCACAGACAGTCTGGGCTTCATAAAGCACTGTCTCAAGAAACAGCTCGGCAGTGCTGGAGCACACCTTTAATCCCAGCACTTGGGAGGCAGAAGCATATTGATCTCTGAGTTCGAGACCATCCTGGTCTACAGAGCGAGTTCCAGGACAGCCAGGGTTATGCAGAGAGACCCTGGGGGTGGAAAAGAACTATAAACTGGCCCACAATAGACGCAGGCATTGATGTAGACCCCAGCTTCCATGCCCAAGGGCACTAGATGTGCTCTCCTCCACACATACTCACAGACATACATCACTGCTCACAGCCACAATCTGTCCACACCGTAATAAAAACGAGGGCAGGATGGTGGTGCACGCCTTTAACCCCAGCACTTGGGAGGCAGAGGCAGAGGCAGGGAGACTTCTATTGAGTTCCAGGCCAGGGTGGTCTACAGAGCAAACTCCAGGACAGCCAGGGCTACACAGAGAAACCCTGTCTGGAAAAAAAAAATTAAGGGCTGGTAAAATGGCTCAATGAGTAGAGGTGCTTGCAGCCAATCATGACAACCTGAGTTCCATCCTGAAACCCAGATGGTGGGAGAAAAGAACCAGTTCACATCATGCACACATACACACTGCACAAGTCATACAGACACACACACACACGCAAATATTTTAAAATGTTTACAGTAATGAAAACTGAGAGAGTAACTTAAACACTAAAGAGAAATGGCTATAAGTCAGAAAATTAACACTTGAGATGAATTCTGAAGATATAAATTCCTCTAAGTAAACAACACAGAAAGGACTCCAAGACCACTGTTGACAGATTAACGATAGAGAACAATTTGTCTGCATAGAAATAACATTTACATGGAATGAGTATACACTTGTAAGTTTGTACACATGGATGCAAATGCTATGCAAAGGTTTGCAAAGACACATGAAATTGAATGAACTAGAGAACAAGAATGGGGAAGAGCTGTTATTAGGAGGCTTGAACAAACTTTCACAAAACAATGTATTTCTGTCTGGTTGCTTGGGTGTCAGGAATTTTTGAATTCTGAAAATGTAGCCAGATTGGCCTTAAACTCTTGATCCTCCTGTCTTTGAATCCATAGTTCTGGGTATCACAAATGTGAACTCTTGCACCTAACCTTGTATTTTTATGTTGTTTGTGTGAGTATAAATTCATGTTTAAAAATTTAATCTGCCAAGTTTAGATGGACTGGAAACTGTTGTGTGAGGGCTTTTTCTCATTAAGAAGTAAATATATTTGTGGCTAGGATCTGAGGTCCCTCAAAAAACAACCTGAAAAGCCCTTGCCCCCTTCAGTCTAGAATACCATGAATTTGCAATTAACATCAATGCCTTTTTAAAAAACACTCTCTCCATATTGCCTTCCAAATTTTCTTACGTACCTCTCAGTCCAAGAAACTCTCAATTCTATTATTCTTTTTAAATTTTTCATAGAAATCATAACTACTTAAATTTACTTATTGATTGATTGATTATGCTTCCCAATAGGGAATGTCTAGACAATTTTGAACTCGTGAAATTAAATTGAGCCATTTAGAGTGTTCTTACATCAAAGACATTTTATTTACTTACCTTAGTTGGAAAAGGAAATTTGGAAGGTTCTGTTTTGCATGGTGTATGAATAGCCGTTAGAGGGGGAGGCCATGAATGCGTCATCTCCTGAAATGTAATTATTACAGTTTGTTTTCAACCAGGACAAGGTTACAAATCTACACAGCTAAAAACCAGATTTTACTTAGAAATACTGGTTTTATGATCAATCCTCCAAAACTAGGCATAGTGAGCATAGTGGATACTAATAAGGCACAACTGTATGCAGGCAAGAGGGCTGTCAATGGGGCAGGAAATACCAAATTCTGACTTTAAAGATCATATAGGTAGAATGATAAAATCTGTGGACAGTTATAGAAATAGGCCTGTAATGAAAAACAAAGTCTAAGGGGTTTGTTTGCTTGTTTTCTGAAACAGGGTCCTGGCTCCCTTGTTATGCAGTAAGCCTTTGTGCTGATCGCCCTGCCTCTGCCTCCCAAGTGCTAGACTAGAGACATGAGCCACCACGCCTAACAAGTGCACAGCATGCAATGCTGCTAAAACAGATCTTGCTGTGGGAATGGACGGGAGTAAGGAAAACAGTTAACATTAATCTTCAGCATTAAAGATCAGAAACTATGTTTGGCTTGTCAATCATTTCTTCAAATCATGAGATAGCTATTACCACTCTAACTTATGTAAGATGAAAGTGAAGCACAAAGTCAACATTATTTATTCAAGGTTGCATGCTTAGTAAATAATGGACACAGAATTTCACTGTAGAAAGTCAGATTACAGAGTCCACATGCTCACTGAAAATTTTGCTCATGTGAAGAAATCAGAAAAGAGATTTCAAAAGCATATTATGAAGAAAACAGGTAAGACCGTGGGTCTGATTTCATGTAATGTCTTCCATCTAATTGTGTTTTATATAAATAGCTGGGCATGGTGGCATATGCCTCTAATTCAGCTCTTGAGAGAAAGAGTTCAAGGCAGCCTGGGATTGACACCCTGTCTAAAAGGGGAAGAGGCCCAAATGAATTTGAATAATAATGTGTATGTCCAAGTGACCAAGGAAGAGAGATATCAATTAGAATAAGGGATATTTTATTTCCTGCATTTTGTTCAAACTTAGCTATTAGGGGAATTAAAGGTGACTTATAATACTTAGAAAGTTATATTGTGGCTACAACTACAGCTATATAAAGACACATTAAAATTATATAAAGATTCCAAGGACTCATAGAAAATGTTAATAACACTGGTATTCAACAATACAATACCGATTAAATAAATTAGCAGACATCCATACAATGGAACACCAGACAGACATTAAAATGAGAAATATGATATGAAATGATGTCCACTGCATATCACTGTCAAACACAAATAAGTCACAGCCTATGCCCTAGCAAACATTATATATGAGAAGTCAAGCCTCTGGAAGGATGTTTAACAGTGGCTACCTTTGGGCACCAGAATGACAGAAAAGGAAGGGAAAGGACAGTTGGAAGGGCAGTTGGTAGTATCTACTAGAACCTCTTAATTCAGCCACTTGTAGGAGCAGAGAAGGTGGACACAAAGTCCACCCCTAGCTGAAGAGCTTGGAGAGAGTCAGTTTTCTTTTAAATGTGTAGCCCTTGGTAGGTCTGCCAAACTCCAGTGGATGGCCACATATCCAAGAGTATATATGCAGCACAAACTGGACTTGCTGAGGAAAAGAAGGAGGACATGAAGCCGCGTAGGTAGAGAAGAGTAGTAGAGCTGCAAGAAGGTGAGAGTGAGCATGATCAAAATACATGATATCAAACTATCAAAGAACTAATAAAAATGAGGAGAAACAAACAACAGCAACAACAAAAAAGCACTCGCCACTTGCATGTAGTTATTCTCTGTCCTCTTACAAGACTCATAATATCTCCTATAACCAGCTCTAGAACGTCAGACATGATATGATACTATAACTCACATCATTGCCTCATCGCCAGCACTTGACACATAACGAAGCAAACAACTGACAAGAGTATTTTTTCAAAAAACATTTTTTTAGGCAGAGTTTTTCCTTATTTTCATAAGAGTTCCTAAAAACCGTGTGATTGCCAAGCTGAATGGAAACAAAAACCTATGAAATAAACATGGTAACTTCTGCACCTCAGTTTTTTAGTACTGGTATTTTGCAAATCAAATACCAAAATACATTCAACTGCTATTTTTTTTTTTCAACAATCAGCTTGGCTGGGAACTCAAGGCCACATGCCAAGATCATACACAGAAAATGTAGGCTTATATGTTTAGTGAGAACAGAGAGACAAAGAAAGTCTTCCAGGCACTAAAGTTCCACATATTGCTACAATTTCAGGGGAAAAGGTGCATGTTCCCTTAGAACACACACAGACATACACGCATACAAACACACGCACACATACACACACACACAAAACAAACAACCAGCGAAATAAACACAAAAGCAACCAACTATAACAAAATATATACATGAGTATTTCTTATGCACAAGCCTGTGTGTGTGTGTGTGTGCGTGTGTGTGTGCGTGTGTGTGTGCGCGTGTGTGTGTGTGTGTGTGTGTGTGTATGTGTGTGTGTGTCTCAAAAAAAAGTGAATGCTTGGGACTGAAGATATGGCTCAGTGGTTAAGAGCACTGGATTCGATTCCCAGCACCTACCTATACAGCAACTAACAACTGTCTGTAACTCCAACTCCAATGGATCTGACAGCCCCTTCCAACCTCTTTGGGCAATGCACATACAGAGTGCACAGACATACATGCAGGCAGGACACTCATTAAATAAATGAGTTGAGAGAGAGGGAAGGAGAGAGGGATTGCTTTTTGAGATTGAAAGTGAAGTGTTTTCACTGTGGGCTGACACAGGAAGAAGAAAGTTTTCCCTGGGATTCTACAGAAGACAACTATGTATGTACTACTACAGAGAGAGTAGAGAATGTTAAGGAAGTGATAAAAAACAAAACAACAACAACAGAAAAAAAAAAACAGTGTGGAATTACAAGCCTCTAATGCCAGTGCTTGGAAGGTGAGGCAGGAGGACAAGGTTCTAAGCCAGCCTCCACTATAAGAAGCCCCAAAAAGAAAAGAAAGAAAAAAAAAGTATAGCTTAGGAAAACTAGTTTGGCAAAAAGTGGTCAGCGCCCTCAGCAGGAGAGGTGAGGAATGGCTTTGGGGTGTCTGGGATGTTAAATTCTTCCTCTGAACAGCTGTTTTAGCCATCTCAGTCTATCGTAGAGAGGCACTGAATACTTACAGCAAAAAAGTCAAGTTATGAAGGCCAGGGTCTAAAGGAAAGACATGAAGCAATATGAAAAGATAACTGAGAGATTTTGCAGGCAAAACCAAAAATAGTTAAGACTGTCCTAAAGGTCATCACTGCCACCACCACCGTGTGAGCTGAGCAGTGGTGGCACACACCTTTAATCCCAGCAGAGGCAGGAGGGGTCTCTGTGAGTTCTAGGTTCACCTGGTCTACAGAGCGAGTTCCAGGACAGCCAAAGCCACACACATTTTCTCTTGAAAAACAACAAAACAAGCAAACAGAAAGAGATTTAAAAAACAGAACAACAAAATAAAAAAATCACTACCATGAGGGTGTGTGGACACGTGGCCGTGGCACACACGCAACGTCAAAGGGTGCTTCCGGAGGTCAGAACACAACTTTTGGGGGTCAGTTCACTCTTTCCACCGTGGGTTCTAGAGGACTGAATTCAGGTCATCAGGTTGGTATGACAAGGACTTATTCCTGTTGAGCCATCTCATTGGCCCAAGTGAGAATTTTTAGAATTACTGAAGTATGAGTTGGCAGAAATAGAAAGAATGAAGATTTTCAAAGAAATTTTAAGCCTAAGCCTAGTTTTGTAGTTAAATGTGTGGAAGAAATTAGAGATAATGAGGACTCTACATTTATAAGCGTGGGCAAATGGATTAAGAAGTAAGAACCAAGAGGCACAAACCTATAGGAAACCACTGAGGAGAGAAAGACTAATAGCTAGTTATCTGATAAAACTAAGGATGAGTGGAGATGATGAGTTAACAAGATGAGTAAGAGTGTAAAAAGAAAAAGAAAAGGCTAGAAAAGATAAGAAAAGCCGTAACACTACCAAAAGAGGTGGGAAAGGGAGACAAGAAATCGAACACTGAAGCGCAGTAACAAGGAAGGAACAAAGTTTCTCACAGGAAAAAAAATGTGTAACTCTCAAACAGCAGAGAGTAATAATAATAACAACAACAACAACAACATGAGTTTTTATATGCATTATACCCCAGGCAGAAGACAAGAGAAGGACATTAGAAAAACAGGTTCAGCAAAATGGTAAAGGGAGATTATAGCAGCTAAAAGAAAGAACAGGAGATTAAATGGTACAAACAGGTTATAGGAAACAGGCCAACACAGGGAGTCTCAGAGGAATATGCCACAAAATCCAAGTATAGACAATAATTCAGTAGCTTCCAAAAAAAAAGAAAGAAAAAGTCATGTGTGACTGGAATTTTTATCTTAGGAGCAAAAAGCAGTCATTGTCACTCACTAATTCCTCTTCCCTTCTTTCCAACCGAGGATGCACTTTTGGGGGGGAACACTGAGGGCAGTTTGAGACAGGGTTTCTCTGAGTAGCCTTGGCTGTCCTGGACTCACTTTGTAGACCAGGCTGGCCTCAAACTCACAGAGATCCACCTGCCTCTGACTCCCTGAGGGCTGGGATTAAAGGTGTGTGCCACCACTCCTGGCTCATGGCAGATTTTTATTAAGTGGATCTAATAAATGTTGCAGATCAATACTCAGAGGACAGCTTTAACTAAAGTAAGGTACCTGACCAGGATGTACAGTTGAGTTACAAGCCAAACTACTGTCAATAATGACTTGGTAACTACTGAGAATTTTTAGCCTTTAAAATATTAGCTGATAAACCTAAAGAAAATGCAGTTATAATTTGTTTCTTCCTCTTTTCAAGGCAAAAACTAGAACTTATTTTACTGACAAACAGTAAACAAAGCATGTGACTAGAACATGAGAGGAGTCAGTTATTTATTGACATGACACAATCAAGTCATATAAGCAATCTGTGTTAAGAATTAAGAATATAAAACAAAGTTGATAAAACAGGCATAATTACAGACCAAAATGATAAAAAAAAACTTACTTTAAGTATTTCATCCACACAGCTTACATCACCAGAAACTGACGCCTTAAGAAAAAGAAACAGACATTAGATTTCAAGTAATTGTTGTTAAGACTTTTAGTATTTACTAAATATATTAGAAATTACATAAAATTTGAGGAATTATTTATGATCCCGTAAGTTAGAACACTAGCTAGAACTTTTGAAATAGCTTCTCTATACAAAACTTTTTAAGATTTACTCATTTTTATTTTATGTACATAGGTGCTTTGCATGTATGTAGGTCTTTGCACCACATGAGTCCCTAGTACCTGTGGAAGCCAGAAGAGGGAATCTGATCCCCTGAAACCAGAGTTAGAGACAGCTGTGAGCCAGCCTATGAGTGCTGGGAATTGAACCTAAACCCTTCAGAAGAACAGCCAGAACTTTTGGCCCTTGAACTATCTTTCCAATACCTAATTTTGTTTGTTTGGTTGGTTGGTTGGGTTTTTGAGACAGGATTTCTCTGTGTACCCCTGGCTGTCCTAGACTTGCTTTGTAGACCAGTGATTCTCCTGCCTCTAACTCCCTGAGCGCTGAGATTAAAGGTATGTACCATCATATGTGGCTTGATGTAAAATTTTTGTTGTTGTTAAAGATTTATTTACTTATTATTTATTTATACCGCATTCTGCCTGCATGTGTGCTTGTGCACCAGAATTGGGCACCAGATCTCACTATAGATGGTTGTGAGCCACCATGTGGGTGCTGGGAATCAAACTCAGGACCTTTGGAAGAACAGCCAGTGCTCTTAACCATCTCTGAGCCATCTCTCCAGCCCCTTGATGTAATTTTTTTAGATAATCAGATTACTTAAAAATTTCAAAAGTTATTCATGTACAAAATATAACATGACCTGAAGACATAATTCCACATAAAATAACGTTTGTAAAATAATTTATGGAAGATTAGTAATTGGAGCCACAATATATATTTTTATATATCATTTAATAAACTGTAGAAGGGAAATTGATAATTTTAAGGCATAAATAAAAACTAAACTCAAATCTAGTTACAAGGATGATGTGTTTGAAGAAAACAAATCACCACTTCTCTGAGTGTGGGAAAGCAACTCAGGTCCTCTGTAAGAGCAGCAAGTGCGCTTAACCACTGAGCAATCTCTTCAGGCCCCAAGATTCTTTTTTTATTTAATTCTATTATTGTATGTCTGTAACGTGTATGTATGTGTATGCAAGGGTCTGCCATGTGGGGGAGCGGTCAGAGAACAACTCTTGGGAGGTGGCTGTCTCCTTCCACTATAGGATCTAGGAACTGAACAAGTCATCAGATTTATACTTTATCCAAGAGCCCTAAATGTTCTGAAACATTTTCTGTAACTCTGATTCCTTCTTCTGCCATTCTGAACTCTGAGTTATGCCTGTTGTCTTCTTAACTTTTTTGTGTGTTTTATAAAGTGTAACAAAAGATAAACCTTGAAGGGCTGGGGAAATGTCTCAGTGGTTAAGAGTACTGGCTGTCCTTCCAGAGGATCCAGGTTTGATTTCAAGCACTCACATGGCAGCTCACACATTCTGTAACTCTAGTTCCAGGGATCTGAGGCCCTTCTCTGTCCTCTGTAGACAACCAGGATACACAAGATGCATAGATATACATGCAGGTGAGACACTCATGCACATAAAATAATAAAATAAAATTATTCTGGCCTGTGTAACAATGTTTCATTGTAACCTGTTATTCTGACAATTTAGTATATGTTAGCAAAGAAGATAAAATTTCAGCTTAGTTCTTTGGTTATTTTGAATGTCAGCTTTTGGACACCATTACAGCAGCTGTCTCACCTCTTTAGCTGTAAGCAAAGGAAAGCAGCATCAGAACTACAATAATATCATTTCCAAAGACTGAAAAGTCCCAACATTCATCACGTAAACCATGACTTACATTTATCTGAAATGCTTTAAGAATAAAGGTAATCTTATTTTTAAGTAAAAAGAAACAAGCTATACCATCCCAGAAAACCAAAAGGAAGCTGGGTGGTAGGAAGTGGGGGGGTGACATACACCTTTAAACCTGGGACTCAGGAGGCAGAGACAGGTGGATCTCTGTGAATTCAAGGCCAGCCTGGTGTACAAAGTGAGTCCAGGACATCTAGGGATACACAGAGAAACCCTGCCTCAAAAAACCATAAATAAATAAATAAACAGGTAAATAAATAAATAAATAAATAGGTAGATAAATAGGTAGATAAATAGATAAATGAATAAATAAATGCAAAACCAAAAGGAGGAAGTGTAAGCTATTGATAAATCTTACTTTTAGTCTATATTAAAATGAAAAACTATGAATGATATTTTTCCTCTATTATCCGAAAGGGAAGTACATAGCTCTACGGATCCTCTTGGGGGTCAACTCCAAAGTTGTTCTTTAAGCCTTTTCCTCTTAAACTTTTTTAATTTTTGTATTTCTCATTCTTAAGGCAAAAAGACAGTTCTAATTCACTAAAATTTCTACAAATTACTGTATCCAGACAAAATGCTACACACTCTGAGTGTGAGACTTACATCCAAAGGTCGGGAAGGTATTTTCAGCTTGGTGAGATGTGCTTTGCTGCTGGGCTTCAGCTCAGTCATGTTGTTACCATGAGACTGGCTGCTGTAGTGCTCGGAGGACAGCTTTGGTTCCACAGACTCCTGTCCATCCATGGGCCGTACATAGGCAGTGGGTTTCTGTAACATTGAACTAGATTTTGACATCAAAGAAGGTGGAAAAGACTGACTTGAATGCTGCCCACTTGAAAAAGGTACACGGGAAGGAGAATCCCAATTGGCATCAGGGTCCCGAGGTGATTTGGAGCGCTGATGTTCCTTGCTATGGTGATCATTCCCATGAGATCTGGAATGACTGGAACTTAGGGAAGAAACAGCCTGGGGTTTTCCAGGGCTTGAGGATCGTGACTTGGAGTGCTCTGACCCATGCTGGCCTTTTTTCCGGCTACTGCTGTATGAGTCACGGTCATGCCTTTGGCCACTACTACTAGTGCCACTACCACCTGAACTGGTCCGCTGGCTACTGTGTCCACTCTGCAAGCCAGAAGATCGTTTCTGAGACTGAGAAGTGCTGGGTGCAGGTCCTACAGGAGTCCATTTGCTACTCTGATGAGAGCCTCCATGTCTCTGTTCAAAAAAATTTGGGTTTGCTTTGTCGTCTGTTGTCGCTGGTGCCGCAGGCTTGGGAATTGCAACAAGCTTTGGTATAGATCTGTCTCCTATGTAATCCTTCATCTCATCGTAGTTTCCAAGCATACTCTGAATACGACTTGATAGCTTATCTTCTTTGCTGGTCTACAGAAAAGAAGGAAAAAATAAGGAAAGTATACTGTCAGTATAATGTGAAACAAAATACTCTAAGCTCGCTCTAACCCTCAGACAGAGGAGGTGTTGTCAAGGCAGGTCTCACTTTTTATACTGAAGTTAACACCTACAAATAAACACACACACACACACACACACACACACACACACACCAACAAAAGACTAGAACCTCTCACATGCTAGGTAAGCACTCTACCACTGACTCTATCGCACACTCTCAGTCCACACTTATAGTTTCCATAGTGAAAAGTATTTGGAAAAAAAAAAAAACTAACAAAGAAAATATATGAAAATAACTGCTAAAATACAAAAGAAAGTCTATAGATTATATTAAAAAGAAACCGTAACTAAATAACCAGGGCTGGGATATAGCTCAGGCAGTAGAATGCTTGCATGGTATGCATGGAGCCCTGACTTCAATCCCTAGCAACACAGTAGTCTCACTTGATAGCATATTCCCAGCAGTATGAAGGATCACAAGTTCAAGGTCATCCTTGGCCACATAATGAGTTTTAGGCCTGGAAAACAGGAGATGTCATCATAAAAAAGAAAAACAAAAACAAAAACAAAAAACAAACTAATGAACAAAAACCCAACTGAAATACCACTATTTATTTTGAGATTGGAAAACATTAATAACTTTAGATTGTTTGAAAATCTGTGATCTTATTAAGGAATTGAGATAAATCTGCAGCTATTCACCAAAAACAAGTCCAATGTTTATAGTTATGGAATGAATAGTAGTATGATTCACAGATTCTGAAGAAAACTCTCTTGATTTATTTCAAATATGTTTTTAGCTGGGTAGTGGTGACACATGCCTTTAATTAAAACAGAGGCAGAGACAAGAGGATCTCTAAATTCAAGATCAGCCTGGTCTCCAGAGTGTATTCCAGGATGCCACAGCTGCACAGAGAAGCCCTGTCTTAAAAAACCAAAACAAACAAACAGAAAAAAGCTTTTAACCTCTGATTTAATCCATTATCCAAAATTACTAAAGGCTCTCTGTTACACTCAAGTAAATGATGTCAATGTGACATCATTTTTCAAATTGGAATATCCTTAAGAGCTCTAGATACATCATTTTATATAGTACATAAAGGGTTTATATACACCAAACAAAAGGGTATATTGTTATAGCCAATGTTTTTTCCTTTCAGAATTTATGTGCACTACCTATGTGCAAAAGTCATGGAGGGGTCATAAGAGGGAGTCAGATCCCTTAAAACCAGTGTTACTAATAGCTCTGAGCCATTATGCAGGTGTTAGAAAACTACCCAGGGGAGCAGTAAGTGTTCTTAACCCGTGAACCATCTCTCCAGGCCAACTGTCAATATTTCATCAGAAAAATAAAATCGAACAGGGCTGTGATGGCTTACATCTTAAGTACATCCCAGCACTTGGGAGGCAGGGACAGAAATATGGATCTCTGAGTTCAAAGCCAGCCCGACCTACAAAGTGTGTTCCAGGACAGCCAAAGTACAAAGAGAAACCCTGTCTTAAAAAAATGAAAGAAAAAGAAGAGAAGAGAAGAGAAGAGAAGAGAAGAGAAGAGAAGAGAAGAGAAGAGAAGAGAAAGAAAGAAAGAAAGGGAGAAAAAGGAGGGAGGAAGAGAAGGGAAGGAGAGAAGGAAGGAGGGTAGGAAGAAGAAAGGTAAAATAAAATATACTCTCTTGCTCTCTTACTATAAACCAGCAATGGCCATTACTGTCATAATGTATAATAAACACTAAAGCTATTATGCATAGCATAACCCTAAAGTTTTAACAACTGTTGAAATGAAACCCAAAGGTAAATGAAATGCTAGAAAGACATGTCACCACTAAACCTACATCAGGGTCATGAGAATTATTACTACTTAGTTTTTTTTGTTTTTTTTTTTTTTTGTAATCTCAAATTAGGGACAATGATAATAATTAAAAATAGCAACTGGGTATGGAGAAATGATTCAGTGACTGAGGGTACTTGGTTGCTCTTTCGATGGACCAGAATTCGATGCCCAGCGCCCCACGGCAGTTTGCAGCTGTCTGTAAACCCAGCCCCAGGGAGAAGCTGATGCCTTCTCCTGGATTCTCAGCACCGCACACACGTAGTGCACAGGAAGTATAAACACTCACACATAAAATAAAATAAAGAAAAAAAATTAAACATTAACATAACAATTGATCAGGCTGGATGCAGTGGCATATGTCTATAATCCCATTACCCAGAAAGGCAGAGGCAGGAGGATCTCTGTGAGTTTGAAGCCAGCCTGGTCTACAAAGTGAGTCCAGGACAGCCAAGGCTACACAGAGAAAACCTGACTAAAAAAAACAAGCAATTGATCCAACATATTTTTCTTAATTTTAAAAAAAGATTTATTCTACATAGTGAATTCCAGGATAGCCAGGGCTATATAAAGAGATCCTATCTAAAAATAAATAAATAAATAAATAAATAAATAAATAAATAAATAAATAAATAAATAAATGCAAGGAAACACTAAGTAAATAAAAATGGAACAAATGAAATGCTCTTAACTGCTGAGCCATCTCTTCAGTCCCTTTTCAGTTTATTTAATGCCTCCAACAACATGCTCCAATGTAACTGATAATAAGTAAATACATTAGAAGAAATATCAGAGAATTTAATCTATGGTAACAGAGATGAACTACGTAAGAATCATTCTAACATACTGTCAATGAAACTTACTAAATAAGCAAAGACAAGAAATAGGGAGAAACAGCACCTGTGAAAGTCCTCTTTGATATTATAACCAATGAATACAGAATCCCTAATAAACAGCAGATAATGCAAATTCACTGTTTTTGAGTCAGGATTTCTCTATGTAGCCCTGCCTTGCCTGGAACTCAAGAGATCCGGCTTGCCTCCACCTCATAGAATGCTTCCATTAAAGGCATGCATTGGGCTGAACAGATAGCTCAGTGGTTAAGAGCATGTTCTGCTCTTCCAAAAGACCTGAGTTTGGTTCCCAGAACCCATGGCTCAAAAGTCGTCTAAACCTCCATCTGCAGGGCACCTGTCATCTTCTAGCCTCTGCAGGGACCTGAGAACATACATGCAAGTTACACTTACACACTTACACTTACACACACACACACACACACACTTTTTTTTTAAACCTAAAAGCACAAATGTCCTGTAAGTAGGGTGAAAAAGCATTCAAAGAAGATAACTTACAACTTTGTATGGCTCAGCAAAGAGAGGAGAGCTAGGTGGGAAGGCGTCTTCGCCCTGCTGAACTTCCTGATTCCGCCTCTCCCGTTCTTTCATGCGCAGCACATTCCGGTCTTCACGGTTCATGTTGCTATGAAGAGAAGCACAATTTTTATATCACAAATAAAAATGTAACATTTTGTAGTGACTGTCAATTTAACACTCCAAACTTCTGTCGACTTCTAAGCAGTTAACAGGCATTTCTGCTGAGGTGGGATCCTAGCACTGGTTTTAGCGACTGACGGCATTACCATCTTCCACAGTCACTCCAGAAGGAAACATTAGGTAGAATATAGGAGAAACCACTACTCCATCCAAACAGCCTCATTTCTTTTTTCAGTGCTGGGAACTGAACCCAGAGGCTCACATATTCTAGGCAAGCATTCTTCCAACTTCTCTGCCCCAAACGTGACAATGTTTCAAATACTCTGCTACCTGAAAGTGAGCTAAAAGGAAGCTGAGTACATTCAGAGAGAAAGGATTTCCTACTTGAACCGGTTTTTCAGTATTTCCTCTTCACGATGCTAACTGGCAATATCTTTGGTGGCATATAATCCACTCTGATCTTCCACCCAAAACCCGTGTCCAGCTCTTTTCTCTACTTTGCATCTACCTTATCTTGATTTCTTTTTGTCCCAAACACAGCTTCCTTGATGTCCATCCTACAGCAATGTGACCTCAGCTTTGCTGTTGTTCTAGAATCCCTAAATAATGATAGTTCTGCTCTAGATATAATAATACTTCAATTAATGCCTCAATAAATGGCAAACTGAGGCTTTCAGTGATAGATGTTAAAGTTAGCATGTGTTAGTAAGTGTAACTAAAAACTGTATTTGGAGTCCAAGAAAAAAGTATTTGGAGTCTAAGGGGAAAAAATGGAAATGTTATTTCTGTAATCATGCTAGAATAAACCAAGACAAATAGCTTATTTTTATCTAAACAGCAGAGATTTTTGTCTAAGTGGACAATAAATGAAAGAAACTGTGAAATGCTAAGTAAATAATAGCAGGGCCTCTGCTGCTCCTTTCCCTCAAGTAGAATACAAATTAAAGCTCTGTCATGATTTTGTTTCAAAAGAGGAAGAGAAAAGCAAAGACAGAGACACAAATACATAGAGACAGACCAAGCAAAGGGGGAAATCAGAGTGTATCTGTGTAACCTATTTTAAACCAAATAAAATAGAAATCAAGCTGGGCTGTGGCGGTTCAAGCCCTTAATCCCAGCACTTGGGAGGTAGAGTCAGGTGGATCTCTGAGTTGGAGGCCAACCTGGTCTACTGGACAACCAGGGCCACACAAAGAAACCCTGTCTCAAAAAGAAGAGGAGGAGGAGGAGAAAAAGAAAAAAGTGAACTCAGTCAGGAAAACACTTATCACTTAAGATAAGCAGTACATTCTTGAGACCAAAGAAGAGGCTGTGTTTAAGAGCACTTGTTCTTACAGAGCTCCAAGGTTCAGCTCCCAGAATACACACCATGTTTCACCAATGCCCTTAACTCCAGCTCAGGGAATCTGGCACCCTCTTTTGGCCTCCTCAGACACTAACTGTGTACACAGTGTACATGCATACACACAGGCAAAACATTCACAAACAATGATGGACAATGAGAGAGATTCTAAGTGTTTCACACTGTGTTCAAGTTGTTTCTTTTTAATGATTTTTTTCAGACTGGATATGAGATTGATTACTGAACATGATCTGGTACGGTATGGGAGAGCACTGTGGAAGCCCTTGGAAATGCAGAGCTTGCCACCTGTCCAAGCGGCCTTGAGTGGAGATATATTTGATGCCACAGCCATCAGGAATAAGCCATTCCTCAGTGACCATGTCTTCAAACTCATTTGCATTAAACTTGGTGAAGCCCTACTTCTTTGAGATGTGGATGTCCTGGTGGCCAGTGATCTTGAATTTGGCTCTATGCAGAGCTTCAATCACAGGTTCCTTATTTTGCAGCTTGGTGTGGATAGATAGGATAACCTAGACAATGTGAACCTGACCACTGTTCCCTGGGGCTTCCCAAAGGCACCATGCATACTTGTCCAGAGTCCGTCTGCGCCCCAGTACAGGACAACATCTTGTTAATTTGGATGACATGGAAAGGGTGGAGCCTCACTGAATATGAAAGCCGTCCTTGCCATAACTCTTTACTATGTATTTGTTGGCGCAAATACAGGCAACCTCCAGGGCTTTGGAAAAGAGTTGATCATATTCATCTGGCACCTTGGGGCCACACAGTAGAAATTCATCAACTTTTGCCTTCTTCCACCCCAAGTCAAAGATGCAGACCTTAGCATCAGGGACCTCTCAGCAGAAGGGAAACTTTGGGTACAGCATGTTCTTACAACATTGTTAACACTGGGCAGGGCAGCTGTCCATGATGACAGTAAGATCTTCAGGGGCTCACAGGAGAAAAAGAGACAAGCTGTTTCGTTTCTTGTTGTTTTGATTTGGTTTTTTTCCAGACAGGGTTTGTCTGTGTAGCCTTGGCTGTCCTGGACTCCCTTTGTAGACCAGGCTGGCCTCCAACTCCCAGAGATCTGCCTGCCTTTGGCCCCGAGTGCTGGGATTACAGGCGTGCGCCACTGCTGCCTGGCTAAGTTGTTTCTTTTTAAACACACGCTTTTCTACATTCATGTGCTGCTTGTGGTGTCTGTGTGCACACGTACCCTTGTGCGCCTGCACAGGCACACATGTGTACTATGACGTGTGGAGGTTAGAGGACAACTTATGGGAGTAAGTTCTCTCCTACTGTGTGGGTTGCAGAGATTAATCTTAAAGTGTCAAGTTTGGGAATAAGTACTTTCAGCCGCTGAGCCTCCTCCCCTGCCCTCAGATTATTTTTTACCTGTGTGTATAATATTCTAGTGTCTCTAGTACATAACCTACTGTAGTACCAAAAAATAGTGTTGTTTTCTCTAGCTTCCCTAGTACCTAGCACTCTGTAGAACCATACAAATTATTTTAATTTTCCTCTAATGAATACCCAAAGCATTTATACTTTTGTCAGAAGATAAAACCAAAAAAAAAAAAAAAAAAAAAAAAAAAAAACCTTTAACATATCTGGAAAAAACAAAAAATGTTCTTAGTTAACAACCAAGTTTCAACTGGGACTCTTAAATTAAGGTACTGGCAAAATACAAAGCTATTTAGAGTATAAGGGGTATGTTAACTACCGACTTCCTAAATTCAAATCCTGAAAGATTGAGGCTGGGGTAGAAATCATCAGTGGAGTGAATGCTCATGATAGATAACTTGGAGTTTCATCCTTATCACCAAAACCCCCTAAAAGGTCAGAAAATGTTTAAAAAAAAAAAAAGGACTTAATGTTACATATCAAACAGCATTAAAATAATTCAAGATATATTAAGAAAAAAACCTTTTAATTTTGTGGGTTTTGTTCGGTTGGTTTGTTTGTTTTTGTTTTTCCAGAAAGAGTTTCTCTAGGTAGCCCTGGCTGTCCTGGAACTTGCTCCAAGTAGACCTGGCTAGCTTCAAACTCAGAGATTTGCCTGCCTCTGCCTCCTGAATGCTGCGATTAAAAGTTTTATGTGTATGAGTGTTCTGCCTGCTAGCATATGTGTTAAATCCCCTGGACCTGACTTACAGACAGCTATGAGCTGCCATATCGATGCTACGAGTTGAACCCAGATCCTTTGGAAGGATCTGGGATCCTTTGGAAGCAGTGCTCTTAACCACTGAGCCAATTCTTCAGACCCCCTGTTTTTCTTTGTAAAGAAAGGATATTATCATCATAAAGGAGAATCCTTGGTTACTATCATTTGTCACCTCTTCCTCTGTCTTAAAGCCTAAAGCCTTTACTGATAGGCTTTAGGCTAATGAACCTGTAGTGAGAATTCTAGAAGTTTGGATTCTTTAAAACACACAGAAATACTGAAAGAATGTTTTCTCTTTAATCCCAAGTGTGGGGATATGCAGCTGCTTCACAGCAGTTGATTATGATTTGCCTCTTGCTCTATCAGAGGCATGGTTTTGCCAGCTGCAGATAGTTTCTGCAAGTTTAGAATTCTGTACCCAGCCAGAATTAAGAACTTTTCAAAGGGTAAATAAATGCTAGAATCCCAATAAGTGGGGTTGGTGGTTATTGGTCATTCAGAGGGGTTGTGGTTTATTAGTGGCTAAGCATAAACAAGAAGAAATTAAATTCAAGCATCTCTCCCCTCTGTCCTTTTTCCTCTCCTATCAGGTTCTAGGGAGTGGAACTGGGGGTGAGGGTGGAGGTAGGGAGGTGAGGATAAAGGGTGGGTAAAAGAACTCACAAAGTAGCAAAAGACCAGCTACATTAACTTCTGAAAGTAATTCAGGTTCCCAAACCCTTCTGCTTAAACTTAAAACTATCAGAAACAACTGTTACCTTATATCACTGAAATATATTAATGCTATTCAAGAAATAAAGAATGAGTATTGTGGCACACGCCTTTAATCCCAGCACTCAGGAGGCAGAGGCAGGTGGGTTTTTGTGAGTTCAAGGCCAGAGTGTGTCCAGGACAGCCAGGGCTCTGTTGCGCAGAGTAACCCTGTCTCGAAAAACCAACCAAAAAGGTCATGACAAGAACAAATATTATAATCTCCCACTAATTGCTATGTTGAATTAACACTATACAAGCCAACTGGAGCTAATGGTTACTTAACAATACTTCAACAAAAGAACACATACTTCTTGCATACACACAGACCATTTTCCAGTCCAGGACTACATGTCAGATGATAAAACAAGTCTCAATAAACCTTTAAAAAAAAAAAAAAAGTGTATTCTCTAACCATAGTGGAATGAAATTAGAAGTCTAGAAGCAAAGAAAATTTAAGAAAATCAGAGTATGTGGCAATTAATACATTCCCAAAGAATAGATGGGTTAAAACAAAAGTTCAAGGGAAATAAGGAATTCCTGTAAGCTAATGGGAACAAAAACAAAACATACCTTGTGAGACGCATTAAACATCAACATTATAAAACAAAAAAAGCTGGGGGCGGGAAAGTTGGTTCAGTGGTTAAGAGTAGTTAATACTTTTGCAGAGGAGCAGGGTTCAGTTCCCAGCACCCACATCTGGCAGCTTACAACCTCCTGTAAGTCC